TCTGGAGTATTTCAAGCCAGGGGAGAGATGCTGTTCAGGCTGGATTGGATCCAAGCACTGCAGACAGAGCTCTAACCAATGCCATAGGCTCTTCATGGCCAGTCCTCCTCAGCAGGGAAGCAGAACGGGCCCTTTTGGAGGCCGAATGGTCAACCGGTCTATCTCCCTTCGAGTGGGCAGATTCATTCTCCAAGAGTTCTTGTCTTTTGAAGACTTTTGCCAGGACCTCCCCCTATCTTTTTCCTTCTCCTTCTCCTTCTCCTTCTCCTTCTCCCTCTCCTTCTCCTTCTCCTTACTGGAGGTAGAGGTGTCTCATGCTGCGGGGGCAGAGGCCGGTCTCAGGGCCTGCTCCCACAGGGACCACCTTAAGTTTCAGGTCCTGGTTTTTGAAGGCCTGGGTAGTCAAGACCTTACAATGCGGACAGTTGTTAACAATGTGGGCCTCACCTAGGCACAAGACACACTGATCATGGTGATCAGTAGTGGGGATTTTGGCACCACACTTGTCACAACGCTTAAATGAAGCCATTTTCAACCGGAGTCGAAGGCAAAATCAGCAGGCAAATTCGAAGTCAAACAGTCCAAGGTCGAGTGATCAGTGACAATCTCAAATCCAAAATCCAAAATTAGTGGTCAAAGTCTAGAAAAATGGTTGAAGTTCAAGCCATTAGGTCAAATCGAAAGTGAAACAAGCAACTCTAACAGAGAGAAGTTCCTTCCTAGCTGCTAACATTGCGGACAAAAGGAACTGGAGAAAGAGTGGGAATGCCAAGGGCTTTTTAGGGATGGGCGGAGCTACTGCCAAAAAGTTGCAATTGAAGTTCTGTCTAGTGATACTAGAAATTTCCGAACTAGCAGTGCAGGCACAGATATAACCCATTTGTGTGATTCGCAGAGACCACAAAGAAGAAAAAAACCTTTTTTGTTTTCAGCTGATTTTTTAAAAAATGAGACCATTAACAGCACTTTCAGAAGTTTTGGGGATATCTCCAAAAGCTGCATGCAACCCATAGGCTGCATGACTCCCATCCGGCATTTCCAAGCTTTATGCTCTGAGTAGGTACAAGATATTTTGGTTACCTCCTTTATCATAGAACCATGGAGTTGGGAGAGACCACAAGGCCATCCAGTCCAACCCCTTGTCATGCAGGAATTAAGAAATATTGCTATCTATTTCACAAATACCTAACTAGCTATTTCATTCATTTACATAGGGCTATTTCCTCCATGGCTTTGCCTCTTGTAATGTGTGTGTTTTTAAAACCTCCTTCCTAAAACCTTCAAGATTGCAATATACACTTGAAAAGTTTCTGCATCTCACACCTGGATGGCAAGGGATGAAAACCGAGCAGCCTGAAGAATGGGAAGGTTTTGCATTTCCCTACTTAAGTTCTGGATGTGATCATAGGATGTTTCTGCTTGTAACAAATGAATCACATGTCCTTCATGCTCTGAGCCCAAAGTTGCTACCCCTGGCCAATGCAATTGTTGGCCCAGTAGCCGGTATAGCCACACATGGGATTTCAGTAGCCAGCTGAGGGCTCTTCCACCCATAGCTGCCAGTATTAGTGATGTGGCACAGTGCCCCAGGTGCTGGGAACTTGGCGCTCTGCTTAATGCGCTGAAACTACAGATACATTAAATTGGAGAAAGAGGTGCACTCTGCTCTCATTACGAGAGAAGAGTTCCCATTACGAGACTGAACAGCTTTGTCAAGCAATTTTCAAATGAATGTGATTTGAAACGTTTGGAAATGCAGCCGTTCTGCTACGGCCGCTTGAAGCTGCTCCGTCCAGAGCCAGTTTTGCGGCTCAGCTGGACTAACCTTGTCTTTGGAAACCTTGTGTGAAAACGGACACGAACCGTCGGTCTTCTTGCACGTGCCTCGTAGGAACCTGGTGAGAGGATCAGAAAGAGAGAGGAGGCATGAGAGGAGAATCAAAGAGAGATTTTGTGTGAGAATTCATGGCTCCTGAATATATCTCACAGAATGATAAAATCACAGAGTTGGAAAGGACAGCAAGGGCCACTTAGTCCAACCCCCTGCCATGCAGGAATACACAACTACAGCACTCCTGGAAGATCCGAACTCTTACTAATGTTCATCCTAATGTTTAGGTGGAATCTCTTTTCTTGCCATTTGCATCCCTTGGCTCGTGTTCTAGTGTGAAGCAGCAAAAAATAAGCTGACTCTGTCTTCTCCATGATGTCCTTTCCAAGGATTTCAGGATTTCATTTTATGATTCTACCTGGAGATCCCTGGTCTTCCCTCCAGGAGGTGTCATAGATGCATCTATACTGTAGAAATAATACAGTCTGACAATACTTTAAGTGCTGTAGCTCCATCCTATAGAATATTGGGATCTGTAGTTTTACAAGGCCTTTAGTCTTATCTGCCAAAAATGATGGTGCTTCACAAAACTACAAATCTCAGGATTCTGTAGGATGGAGCCATAGCAGCTAAAGTGGTGTCAAACTGCATTATTTCTACAGTGTCTATCGAAGGAATTAATAGGCTTTACATAAATCATCATTTGTTTATACAGTGGGCCCTTGGTATCCGCTGGGGTTTGGTTCCAAGAGCCCCCATGGATATCAAAATCTGTGGATGCTCAAGTACAATGGCCTAGTAAAAGGTGTCCCTTATATAAAATGGCAAAATCAAGAGTTGGTTATTGGAATTTGTATATTTTAAAAATATTTTCAAACCGTAGATGCTTGAATCCGTGGATAAAAAATCCGTGGATATGGAGGGCTGACTGTATAGCACCATTGATGTACATCTTCCAAAGTCAGAAAATATGGGGTATGCCTAAAGTGGCAGAGTACTATGTGTCAGCAGGATCACAATAAAATTTACTAAAATAGGAGAATAACCAACACATCCAGATGGTGGAATGACTATGATGGAATGACTGTGGTGGGAATTCACCTTAATGTTTCACCTGCTTCTAAAGCAGGGATGGGCAAAGTACAGTCCACAGGCCAAATGTGCCCCCAGGGCCACTTCTGTGGACTCCAGGGGTCAAAAATCATTTGTTTGCCAATTTGGTGCCGGTCCCTAACACACTGGAAAAATAAATGATGGCCCCATACACTAGATAGCCTGGGAAGCTCTACCTTAGACCACAGCACAACCCCCTGGCTCTTGTATTACAGACAGTTGTAAGGTCTGTTTTCGGAGTATGTTCTGCAATACACCCAACCTGGTATTCTTCAGATATGTTGGATTGCAACTTCCATCAAACCTGTCCTGCCCCCATGTTGGGAACTCAGTTCAACACATCACACCTTCTTGGTTCACCTCGTGAATCCATAAATCAATTTAGCATCTAAAAAAGCTCAGCCCACCAGAAGTCATTGACCATCTACAGCAGGAGAAAGAAATCTATGGTACTCCAGATGTTGCTGGATCTAGCACCCCTCAGCTCCACCCAACATGGTAAATGGTCAGAGAATTTGGAAGCCACCTCCTACTTTGGTACAAAATGCTGACTGTTTTCAAAGCCTTTAAAAATACAAGGCGAAGGACAATGAGAAACACACCATTAAATGCAACAGAGTCCTTCCCACAAGCTTATAACCCATACAATTTTTACAAAAATAAAACAGAGCTTCTGCGGTATGAAGGTTCATTTTTGGAGCTTTGCTGATGACAAACAATTCTGCAATGAGTCATTCTCCCTCGTGACACTCTGTTACGTATATACATGTATACACACTTGAGCGTGTGAGTCAAAAAAGAATTTGCTTAAGGTAATGTGCGAACTGGCCCCTACAATAGCATGTTGGAAGGAAATTCAGCTTCAGTATGAATTTCTACAGCAGAAAAACTACCAGTATGGGTGAAGGATCTCACTTGGACCTCTAGATCTTCATTGTCAGTCATCTATCTGAATGGTGCCCAATTCACTCCTGAACACAATTGAATGGTTATTTGTAGAGACAGAGACCAAACAGCCTGAGTTAGATAATCCATCTTGTCTTAAGGTTGCATTTAAAAAGGGCTAATATCCAGTTGTGGATCTCCCTACTCAAAAAATCCTACCCTAAACCAATCTGGACACTGGGAGACAAGTAAAAACATCTTGAAATTGGATGGGCATTTAGTTCAGATGGGACAGATGGACATTTGTTGGTTCCCTAGTGCTGCAGTCAGCTGTTCCTCTGACTTTTCACTGTGGCTTTACGCCTATTCCAACTAAACAAAGCTTTTTGGTTTTTTGTGGCTATTCTGCAGCTCAAGACTCCAGAAGAATATGGTTCGAATCCCTACTCAGCAATGGAGACCCACTGGGTGACCGTAGACATCAGACAGAAAAAATATCTTGGATCCCAGTTTCAAAGCAAAAGTGGGATATAACACTAACCACAACAGCAACAAAATCTGAATGAAATTGCAAGAGAGAGGCTCACAACAGCACAAAGTATCACTACTTGGAAACTCCCAAGTAGTGCAATGATACTTCATTAGTATCTGGATTCTTGGATATAACCTGAATGATTGATGGTCCAAAACTCCAGTCGGTAATACCCAGCAGACTGTGAAACTGAGACAGCAATGACAACAAGAACAACAATGATCCAGAGCAGTGCCTGCAGAAAGAGGGAACCTTGGAGGGAAAAAGGAAAGATACCTTGTGCAGACTGCTACTTTTTCCGGGTCGTGGATGTAAGGGCAGTTCTCGCCACGGTTGCATTTGCCAAAGCGGTTATAATACATGCAGTATTCTTTCTTCTTCTCCTTTTTCTGCTTGGCCTGGCGAATGATGGCCAAGCTACGCTGGACGGCTCGGCTAAAGGGAGGAAGAGACATAAAGCGGGGAACTCAAGTTCATCAAGCATCCTCTACAAATCCTGGCATTGAACTGGGTCTTCACAATGACTGCCTCCCTGAAAAAGATGTTCCTTCAGAAGGGAAAGACTTGCTTTATTCCAATACACTTTTAGGAATAGAAGGTTTTTCAAAGAAAGAGCCTTTAGGGTGCCAAACTGTTAGAGCCATCATGGTCTAGTGGTTAGAGCATTAGACTACAACTCTGGAAACCAGGGTTCAAATATTTGTTCAGTCAAGGAAATCTACTGGGTAAATTTGGGCAAGTCCCACCCTCTCAGCCTCAGAGGAAGGCAAAGGAAACCCTGCTTTGTGAATTTTTTTTTTTTGGTTAAAGCAGCAATTCAGTTTTAAAACAGAAGGTTAGCACAATATAATACACAATTAAAACATTGTTTTTAAAAAAAGATAAAAACAGATAAAACACCACCTCATTAGAATATTAGTGATGGAAAGTGCCTCATGGGCTATAGAGTCCAATCCCTTGTTCTGTGCAGGATTTCCAGCTAGTGCATCCCCAGCAGGAACTGTCCAACCTCTTTTTGAAGAGGGCCATAAACCAGTTTTTTTGCATTAATGTGTAGGACTACACCAATATAGGACTAGATCAGAAAATTAAGTAGAAAAATGAAGTTTGGATATTATAGCCATTAGCTTAAAGAACAATTGTTCTAAAAAGTGCTCTTTTAAAACAAGTTCTTTTGGTTGAATTTCCATTAATTGACAGATTTCTGAATGGCATTTCTTGCACTATGAAATAAAGGGATTAAAAAGAAAGACCTGACCCTGGATACTGGTTTAACAATGAATAAATGCCAGTAAACTGTTAAAGCTAAAATGTTTAAATTCTAAGAGGCACTGTTGCCCCAAAAAGAGGGTTCGAAAATAGTAATAACAGCCAGACTGTTAAAAAAAAGAATAGTCAATTTTAAAAAAAAGAATGCTTTTTTTTTAAAAGTCATTTGGTGTAAACCAACCTGGTTTAAACCATTCAACCCTGCCTCCAGATATTTTCAGACATAGCCATGTTAGTCTGGAAATTCAGTATGCAAAGGGATCTCGTAGCATCTTTGAGACTGACTGAAAGAGAGAAGTTGGTAGTATGAGCTTTCCTAGACTTGAGCCTACTTCCTCAGATGCTATGAGTGGAGTAAAGCTGATAGAATGAGCTTTTGTAGACTTGAGTCTACTTCCTCAGATGTACGGAGTGGAGCTCAGCGATGAGCTGACAGCCAGCCAGGCCAGGAGGACCCAAGCTCCATTCCTTTCACAGGAGGAACCAGAGAGACCTTTGGAAGACACACCAACCTTGCAATGTAGCGGCTTGGGGTGGATCGGCTTGGGCAGCTGGGTGAAAAATAGCTGAAGGAGCTGCTTGCAGAATCCGGCCTCCCTGTTCAAGAAGAGAAAAGAGAAGCAAATTAGATGCTAATCAGAGGTGGAATTTGCAAGGAGTTCAATCTCCAGTTGTTGAACGGAGGGGGAAGGCATTGTGTCACGTTCACACAGGGTAAATAAGCTCTTCCCCAGCCGGCTGAGGTGTTGCTGCTGATGCCTCGCACACAAAGCAAGCAAACAAGTGAAGGGGAGAAACTGTCACACGCCTGGCTGGGGAGCAAAATAAATGAGCCCAGCTACTTAAGACGGCATCACAGAAATGCACTGCCTTCCAGTGATGCCCTGCACCTAGGTGCCAGCATTTGGCAAAGGCCCACAGGAACGACAGCGTCTGAAACCCAACAGATGTATTGTTCTTTGATGTATTTATTTATGGAATTTACATCCCGACTATAGGGGAGACAGGCAAACAAAGGGCACCAGATCTTTGACGGGGCCACAAAGATAAAAGCGGCAGCTTTGGAAGACTTGAGCTCCTTTGGTGTATGCTATGGGTATGTTTACATCATGCCCAACCACCAAAGGAGCTCAGTCCAAGTGTCACCTCAAAAGGTAATTTTTCCAAGCTCTGACCCACAACCATGTTGGGAACTACAGCGGACCCTCTGCATTTTCTAGGGTTAGAGGTACAGGACTCCCGTGAAAGTGGAAAATGAAAATTTAAAAAAAAAAATCCACAAACCAAAACTATTTTTTTTAACCTGAAAGGATGCCTCTCTAGGAATCGCTAGCTCCTCCAGGACAACTCTATGGTCAATATGCGCCAGATGTCGATCACAGAATCGCATTTGATGACCTACAAATCCCTAGAGAAGTATTCTCTCTAAGAATCTCTAGGTCCTGCAGGGCGGCTTTTGGCAGATGTCAACCATGGAGTCATGCTGGAAGACCCAGAGATTCCTTGAGAGAAGATATTAATCAAATCTATAAATAATCCAATCCTCAAAGTCAAAAGCACAAATGTGGAGGGCTGGCTGTCGTTGTCTCCAGCATCCAGTCATCTGGTAAATGTCCTGATTCTGTGACTAAGTGGAAATATAGGGTAGAAGGGACACGGTAGGGCACTGCTCAATGGAACATCAATAAAAATCTTTATTTATCTGCACTGGAATCAGTGCTGGGAATCATGAGGACATCCAGATGTTGCTGGAATGCAATTCCTAGCATTCCTCACTATTGGCTATACTGGATAAGAGGCTGCTGAGAAGTGCAATGCAGAAGAGGGTCGCGTGATTCCAATAGGCATTTGCACCCCACTTTCTCTCTGTCTCCCTACAGAGACCCCTGAAGTGGTTTGCATCAAGAAGGAATAAACAACCCCACGTGGCTAAAAATGCCAGTTAAAACAACACAAACGCCAAGAAGGAAATCAAAGCAAGTGAAAACAAATTTGGAATCTCCTCACGGTAGAATCAGAGCCAGCGTGGTGCAGTGCTCTGAGCACTGGAGTAGGACACTGGGAGACCAGGGTTCAAATCTCCCCTTGGCCATGGAAACCCACTGGGTGACCTTGCACAAGTCACACCCTCAGAGGATGGCAAGGGTAAAAATCCCTCTCAACAAATCTTGAAGCGAAAATAGAGTTGATAGAGTTGCCTTAGGGTTGCCACGAGTCAGAAATAACCTGAAGGCACACAACAATAAGAATTATAGAACCGTACAGTTGGAAGGGGACATAAGGGGCATCTAATCCAAGTCCCTGCCATGCAGGAATACACAATTAAAACATTCCTGGAAAATGCTCATCCAATGTCTGTTTAAAGGAGCAGTCCTCCACCCCATGAGGCAGTCCATTCCACTGTTGAACTATTCTTACAGTCATGATGTTCTTCCTAACGTTTAGTAGGAATCGGTTTTCCTGGAACTTGAATCCATTGGTGTGTGTTTTAGCCTCTGAAGCACCATCTAGTCTCTGGAGTAGGGCAAGGAGTGTCTAGATCTCATAGCATCCTAGAGCTGGAAGCGATCCCCAGAGGCCATCCAATCCAACCCCCTCCCATGCCAGAATAAACAATCCAAGCACTCCCTATGACAGATGACCATCCAGCCCCTGTTTAAAAACCTCCAAAGGAAGAGATCCCATCACATTTCTAGGCAGCGTAACCATGGTTGAACAGCTCTTATAGTCAGGAAGTTTCCATCCACTGTTCTGTGTCCTAGTCTCTGGACCAGCCGAAAACAAACTTGCTCCTTCTTCCATATGACATTCTTTCAACTATTTAAAGATGGCTATCATGTCACCCCTTTACCTTCTCTTACTGAAATCAAAGGCCTTACTGACATCAAGATACACCACAAGACAGGAGCCTGCCTTGAAACACACTGACTTAATGGTGGTGCGGCATGATTGTCTTAAGCACTGGTATGGGTTGAATACGTTCTCCTGCTCCATAAACTCTTCATGAATCTTACAGCTTGTGAGGATTTTTCTGTCACTTTTTCTGCCACTGATACACACACATTTGGGAACAAATAAAGAGTCACACATTCTTACAAATGTGAAGCAGCATGGATAGGGAGAGAAAAAGTAAGAAAAATGTGATATCTTTTCATTCGTCCCTAGCCTGTTCCCCCCCCCCCCAAAAATGAAGAAAATGGATTATATATTTATCTCTTTATGAATGATGAATACCATGTTGTGAGACCAGGGGCTCACATATTTATTATCCCCAAATCATTTCTAAAAACTATTTGTGAGGGAGATTTTTATGTGAGACTATGTACAGCATCAGATCATTATAATCCTTGGTTTTGGTTTCTTTTCCTCAGTTCTTTTTATGAAAACAAGTGTGTTACGTCTGCTTGACACTATGGAGAACTGGTGGAGAAAAAAATAATTTTATTTGTTTTGTTAATGTTGATAGATTCCTCTTTTTTTTACTGTTTGCTTTTTGTTCTTGTTTTTCCATTTCCTCCAACTGGCAAAACCAAAGAGGTGCCTTAAAGTTCAGGTGTTGCTTATAGTTCAGAATCTTGTACCTGCCTTTTTAAAAGGAAGTTCAATTTGCATTTTTATTCTGAATAAAGTGTAATTCTAATACCGTATATCAAACACCATAATTTTATGACAAACGAAATTACAGTCATCCCTGGGTATCCCCTGGGGTTGGCTCCAGGACCAACCATGGATACCAAAATCTGTAGTTGTTCAAGTACCATTATATATAATAACACAGTAAAATGGTGTCCTTTCTATAACATGTGGGTGTTTTGTTTTTTGGGGGGGGATATTTTCAAGTTATGAATGGTTGAATCTATGGATGCAGAATCCATGAATAGGAAAGCCAACTGTATATATGATACAATTTGAAGTGAAAGGGAAGAGACTTTCTATCTGTAAATCATGTTAATACTGCATTTTTCCCATTCTTTTTGATGAACATTTCCCCCCTTTCCCCTGTAAAAAAATGGGGATAAAGTTATATCCCCATGGCTTCAAAATTTCTGGAAAGTTTGCATCTCTACATACTTTACAGCAGAAAAGAAATGAAGGGAAGGGAAGGGAAGGGGAAAGGAAGGAAGGAAGGAAGGAAGGAAGGAAGGAAGGAAGGAAGGAAGGAAGGAAGGAAGGGTATCAGTCTCTATATTCAGCACTCAGACTGCTTTGCAGAAGTTTCAGTGCTCCTGCCCCTAATCCCTAGCAAAAGCAGAATTACAGTATATGCACAGGTGCTCACACAGATCCCAGCTTCCATGCCAGAGTGGTGTGGGTTTTACATGGAGGCAACCCATCCTTAGCCCAGATTGACCAGAAAGAATACAGCTATAAGCTAGTGATAAGCATTAAGCCTAAAGATAGGAAACCACATTAAGCTAATTCAGACCTTTTCCCTGTCTAAC